AAGGGTGAGTCATGGCATTTGGTACTGGGTCTCCGAAGATGCCCCCGAGGAAGCAGGCATCCCAGAATTCACACTCTCATGTCATCCCTCCTATACTAAATCAGGGCTGGGCTTGTGCGCAGCATAGGGATAACTTGGCATGCGCGGGAGGGCCAAACGCCGAACATTCCAGAGAGTACTGAGCCTTGGCCAGCTCCTGGGAGATAATTTCTAAGCCCTCGGATATCCTAAGAATGCCTTGGTACGTCAAGGGACTTGGGCCACGCCAGATAGTTTATGCTAACAACGTGATTGATGGTAGACGTTGGACTCTGGGCCATCCTGTGTCAGTTTGACCTCTGGAGGTGCTGGAGCAGAGTAAGGTCAGTCATGTGGGCATTCTGCGACTTTATGACTGACCCTGAATAAAATCCCTGGACACCAAGGCCAGACTAGCTTCCCTAGTTGGCGATGCTTGTACATGGTGTCACCCATTATTGCTGGGACAATTTAGCGTTGTCTGTAAAACTCAACTGGACGAGGACAGCTTGAAACTTGCCCATGGCCTCGCCTGGATTCTGCCCTGTGTGTCTTTCTCCTTTGCTGATTTGAATCTCTATCCTTTCACTGTAATAAACCTCACCAGTGAGGAAGGCAGCTTTTCTAAGTTCTCTGAGTACTTCTGGCAAATCATCAAAACCGAAGGTGGTCTTGAGGACCCTGTTCACAGCCTGTAATTTCTTGCAACATATAGAATGAGCCAAAGTGAACAGTGGGCCTGGTCTGGACATCTGCCTTATGAAGGCCTGGAAACCTCTGCTCCTGCCCTGTTGGGTGCCCTGAGGAAGTAGTAAGTAGAGACCACGGGCAGGGGAAGTGCTGAGTTGTCCCAGTGACATGGTCAAATCTCCAGAAGACTCCAGTCCTGGCCACCACCTGAGACCCCAGTACAGTCTGCTGCCCAGTTAAGCCCATTCAACCCGCAGAATCATAAGACATAACAAAACGGTATTTGTTTTAAACCAGTACATTTTGGGATAGCTTGGTATGCAGCAGTAGAAAACTGAAACCAGTAGGAAGGCTAAAATAACTGAAGTGATTTGAAATTTAATTGGCTAAGATATCATACTTAAGTAACTGCCAGAAACCATAACTTTCAACTCACCCCAAATTAATCTTCTAACTGAAAGCAAAAACAATTTTTAAGGGGATGGTGATTTAATAAAATTCTTTTGGGTTGTGGGAGTCTGTTGTTTAATTTATTTTAGGCTCCAAGCTTATTTTCACAAATTATTCAGAAATAGTGAAAGACACCTCACCCAGGAATCGCCTTCAGCAAGTTGCAAAGACTTCAACATGCCGTTAATTTTATCCTTAAAACGAGAGGGTGGCTTTATCCAAATTTTAGATAAGGCAAGAAAGCTCCCCAGCAGATGAGGAGCTGGCCACGCTGGTTCTGATGGCTGCAGCACACGCCCTCTGCACCCTGCTGAGTTTTACCTGGCTCCCCTCCAGTGAGCCGCCAGGAGGAAGAGATGCCAAACTTCTGACACTTGGTGTTTGAATATACTACGGAATGTTTCCACTTGTGGATTTCACTGCACGTTCGTGGAGAATTTCAGCAAGCTCAAAATGTGCTCCAGCCATGAGAACACAAAGTCCCTATGATTAGGGAACAGCAATAATGCTGGCACTTCTATCTAATAATCAGCAAGTCCTCTTCCAGGACATTAAATGTCTTGTAAAACTTTCTGATTTGCTTGGCAAGTATTTATCTTTTAGTGAAAATAAGTGGTCTTAGAAGAGAGCAGCAGCAGATGCTGATCAGTCATTTAGGATGGCTAAGTGGTGGCTTCGGCCGGTCTGCCCAAAGTCCATTCTGGGCAAATGGAACCTGGACTTTTTATAAAACAATCATTCCGGATACTGGTGACAATCTAGGTATGTATATGAGTTTTCACTCCTATGCCTGTGTTTATACCTCACATCAGGCAGGTTTAAATGACTCAATCCATCTGCAAGCTTTTAAATGGAAATGCCAAAGTACAGAGAAGCATACTGTCTTAGAATGTTCTGCAAATCAGAACACATTTGTAAAAATCAAATTTTTTTTGTGTTAAGAACGAACCCCAAGTGCCCGATCAGCCACCTCATTTCCATGAAACAGAAATACATTATACAGCTGCTAGTGGGGAAGGCAGGGAATTTCCTTAGTCCCCCATGAAGGAAGATGGGGGGCCTTATCCACTGGCTAGCTAATAGCAGAAAGATCTCACAGAAATTTGGTGGACATGGAGGATAATTTTCTGTACTTGAAGAACATTTTCCGAAGCACAGATGTTTTTGTCTTAACTGTGAAAGCTGGCTGACTTGTCTGTATCCTTTCTCAGAGTGTAGCAGACATTTCTGGAGTGGCTTACCCCCTGCAATGTGGAGCTGATATTCACTGCTAGATGGAAAACACATATTTGGCTAGACAGACATGAATCAATATTACACAAAAAGATTTCCATTTGGGGAAATTCCCTGAAATAAAAGTGTCTTTCTGGCACTGGGCATGCATAAGTAACCATGGGGACAGCTCAATAAAAGAGAAAATGGATTTTCAATAGTTTGCCATAGTAGTGATATGTGATTATAAGAGCCCAAAGATTTTCTTGTTGTTTCATTTTGGAAACAAAAAGTTGGCTCATTTTTCTCATTAATGCCTCAATGTTTTCATTAGGATGATTCTATAAGGACTTTATCTGATTCACTGTAAAGAAAATTATTTTAGAGCTAGGATAAAATTTTATCTGTCACAAACAGAACTGGGTACTAAAACCTGCTTTGAGTTTAATAAATTACGTTGAAGTTTTATGCCCAAGAATGCAATGTTTCTAACAAAACAGTGATTTTGCAAACACTGCAAAGTTCAACTAATTTAGATAATGCATATTTGGAAATAAAAATGCAAGACTAGCTAAAAATGCAAAAATATTATAAATCCTATAAACACACTAATTATTTTATTAGAATATTTTAACTTCCTAGCAATTAAATAGTACTTTTCAATACAAATATCTCATATGGAAAGACATTCATCTTTCATTTATTATCTGTCTAGTTTAATGTGTTCATTATACTTTAATTTGGGTGCTCTCATTGAGTATATCAAAGGATAAATTAAAATTCTCAGTAAAGATCCAATTGGTATGTACAGACCACAGAAAGGGCTATTTTAATCCTTTTGGGGGAAAACCCATCAGAAAGTTTAAACTTCCTGTTTTTTAAAAATATTTACATGGTGGGAGAAAAATCTTTCCAGATAATTGTGAATGAGATACTTGTATATGACTAAAAAAAAAANTTTTAATCTTACCTGCTCAACTATTTCCAGCCTCTAAACCTGTAAGTCTCAAACTGACGCCATACCTTTTCTGGGGAACACAATGAAGAACTGTTGTTTCTGTCTTGGTGCGTGGATAGCGCCCCTTACGTGCACGGAAAGACTGCCTGGCAGGGGGTGTGGGTGGATATGGTTCAGTGTTCAAAGTCATTGTTAATGTAAGCATCCTGAAGTTCCAGAAGGGACAGAAATTTGAGCCATAAGCCGCCACATTAGAAGCCCTGTTGAAAACTTTGGAAAATGTCTTTATATATAATCATCCCCAGATCTTCAGAGAGTAGGTGAAACCTGTATGATCGAAAATGATTGAAATAACCATCTAAATATCACTATGTGAAAAACCATTTCAGATGCTCACTGGCCACTCTACTGAACCCATGACGTTTCTAGAATCATCTTTGTCCATATTATCTTTAAAGGAGCATACCGCTTTATTGATAAGCTGGCTTTGATATGCAATAGCTATGTGACCTCAGGTCTTAACTCCTCTGGCCTGTTTCCTCATCTGTAGAATGGTGATGGTTACGGCAGGGATTAAATCAGCTAATAACCATTCTGTGTCAACTGTTAACACTAGTATTATCACTTACCTATTATCATAATGCATAATGTCTGCAAAGAAGCCATTAGCATAAATTTAAAAAAAATCAATTATAACACAATTCATTATTTTTTTCCAAAATGTAAAAAGATTCAATTTAAAAAAATGTTTGTAAGACCCCCAAATGACAATTGGCTTGGCTCAGCAATTATCTATCCCTAAACTCATTTGGGTTCTTTGCAGCTCTCCCCTATCCCACCTCACCCCCAACTAATTTCACGCACAAGGGGGGGTCCTGCTGCATCAGAAATGAACGCGTGATCAATACTTGTAACTGATCCTTCTAAGGCATGCCTTCCAGATGCAGGATGATAAGGAGATGGTTTCCCTCCAGAAGATGCTGAGAGATGGCAGTAAACAGGATCCCCTCCTGCAGGACAGGCCTCACTGCCTTCCCTCTCTGTGAGATTAAAGGTTGCTCTCCCCTCCCAAGCCCATTTGATTGTTGGCCTGCAGGCACAGCTCTGTGATCCAAATGTGCCCAGGCTGATCTGAATTTATCCGCAAGTCTGGTCTCTCTGGTTGGTCCTGTGCTTAGCTGGAGATGAACAAGAAGCACCCACCAACTGCCTGGACACTCCATTCCCCAAGCCTCTGCTGGCAAAGAACAGAACACTCCAGAGAATAGAACACAGACCAAATTCTCAGCTTTCCCATGTGGGGAAAGAAGCACTGGTCAAGGGAGGCTGCCGAATCAAATTTATAAGCTGTTTTGCAGGCTATGAAGTTAGAGGAGTCATTTCTACAGTCACTATGCTATTGCTGTAATCAATACTGTGATCACCTACTGGCTTAGAGTGAACTATTATTTTAATGTCAATATTTGGGAAGCAGGCAAATTCAAAGCAAAAGAGGACCCTCACTAAATCATAGACACACTGACAATACAAATATTTAGTGCTGGTGGTTGAGTCACTTATTTCCTATGTGACATGGTTAGCCAACATGTTCCCATTTCCTTTTTGCAATATAAGCCAATGTTACTTTATCAATCACACACTTAAAATTATACAGAAACAACACACGAACTGCTCAGAATGCAAATATTCTTTGGTTTACTCATCAAAATAGCAAGTAACAAAGTAGCAAAACCTTATCAGTTAAATAAAAAAGTGACATTCTTTATTTACCTAACAAATCTTACTGAACATTGAAATGCATTAATTTTCACTCTTATGTTCTGTGGCAAAATCCTTTCTTCTCTTTGCCCCTCATCCCTCTAAATTATTTTGATGGGCTCATCTCATAATAAAGATTGTTTCATCTTTCTTAATAACACTTATGTTTTGTCTCAATATCAAGAACAATCTAGATTTTTTTTGTCTCTTACATTTAAAATGGATATTAAAAATGAAGATTCCATCAGCACATTTCCAAGATAACATGCTTGAAAGAAAGTTAAGCCCTCAGCAAGCATTTCAAAGCAACTGACATGCCATTCCATTTTGGGGAATTACCACGATTTGGGTAGTATCACTGTCGGTACTAAAAAACAGGACTTGAGTCCAGAAGCATATTCTTATATTAGACATTATTCATAATGTCAAATACAGTCGGTTTCTACATTATTGGTTAGAGAAGTCATTTTCTATTTTTCTGAGGGTTCAATTTGTCTGAATTCTTGAATGTCAGTGACAAAATCTTTAAAAAAGAATCTTTAACAAAAGGCAGACTTTAAAATGGAATTGTTTTCAAAGGAACAAGGACAGCAAGAAAGAGTTCTTGGATTTTTAAAAGAGGTACATATATATAGTAAGGAATATAAGCAAATCAAAGTACATAGCTCTGTACACGTTAGAAATATCCAATGTGCCACCAACACAACAACTGCCCTAAAAGAGGTGTCTTGAGGTTTGAAGCCACACATAGGTTTCTTTGCATAACCCTATTTTTGCATTAGGCAACCACACATCTTTCCCGTGATCTGTTAACTGTTAGGACTCTTTTCACCAGAATTTTTGGCAAAATGCTTTTTCTTCAAATATAATGAGCCTCATAAAACATTATTGTTAATGTCTGACAACTGAATCGGGCAAAGTCTTTCTGAAATATGTGTAATCTTGACAAAATTATGTTTTCCTTCATAAATCAGCAGCGCTCCATCTTCAAATAAATCATGAGCAGTCACAATCTTAATTCACATACTCATATGTTCTCCTCATCCAACATTTTGTTGATACCATCACAAAGTTTTTGCAAGTGGGGTTTAAAATTTCCAAAGGGGTTATATAAAGCCGCCAAGAAATCACAATCTGAAAAGTGATCAAAGACATTATTGACCCGTCCATGTGACTTTGCAGTGAGGTGGCGCTGAATGATTTGGTGGAGCAGCTCTCTGCACTCATTGAGAAGCCGGGACAACACGTTCCGGTCAAAGGTGTAATCCACCTGGTGGAAACTGACCACGGTCATTGCAAGTTGATGAACTTTCTTCTTAAACTTCTCCATCAATGCCAGCTCATCTTGATTAAACTGATTATTCCTGTAAAGAATAGCCAGCTTGATGACTGTCTTGATGAGGTTTTTGATGATCTTCTCAGCCTCCTTCTTGTTTTGGGTGTATTCCTTGGTTACTCTGTACAGCTCATCGAGCACCTCACTGCTGGTGTCATCGATTAAGGTAGTAGCAATGGATTTGGATACCATTTTACCCAAGATCTTCTTTTGGGCCTGAACGGCCAAGTTTTTGGAGTTAAAGACATCCGTGGCCACTAAAAACAGAGGGGGAAGATAAAAAAAATCAGTAAATGTCAAAAAAGCAAATTCAAAAACAGATACCAAAGAGAATCTTCTTCCTCATGTTCCCACTATACAGTTTGCTTCCCATCTATTAACATTTATTTCTGTTCAGAAAAGAACCAAAAAAGTTTTCCTTCATTTCTGGGCATCAGGTTCTCCTTTGGGAAGTAACAGGCTGTTCTGCAGTCTTTAAGGTCTTTGGCAACTCATGTGCTTTATACTGTCCACTATGTAGTCAATACTTTGTTCAGAAGTTAAAGGTGAAAATCCTATTAAAAATAACCTTTTCTGATTCTAAAAACAGTGTTTCACAAGGCAGTATGTTTGTTAGGCAATTTTTCTCATTTTAATTTTATAATAAATACATCAAAAATATAAAATCAACTACACAACTGTCCTCTGGGCAACAGGAACCAAGAACAATTTAAAGAAACCCATTTACTGTAAGAGGGATAAATAGCAAAGCCAAGAGATTGAATAAAATGGCAAATTCATGGACGAAAATAAAAAGGAGAGTCCTGCTTTGCAAACCACTTGCAAAAAGTCAAATACGTCATGAACACAGATAAAAAAATCCTCAACAAAATATTAGCAAGCCAAATTTTAAAATTCATCAAAAAGGATCATCCATCATGAGAAAGGGGGGTTTATTCCAGGGATGCAAAGATGGCATAATATTCCTAAATCGATCAATACCATATACCACATTAACAAAAAGAAGGATAAAAACCATATGATCACCTCAAGATATGTTAGGAAAGCATTTGACAAAATTCAACATCCATTCATGATAAAAACTCTTAACAAAATGGGTATAGAGGATACGTACATAACATAATAAAAGCCATATATGACAAACCCATAGCTAACATCCTCATACTAAATGGCAAAAAGCTGAAAGCTTTTCCTCTAAGACTGGGACAAGATAAGGATGTCCAGTCTCCCCACTTTTACTGTACACAGTACATAGCAACAGCAATCAGACAACACAAGGAAATAAAAGGCATCCAAACTGGTAAGGAAGAAATTAAGCTGTCACTGTTTGCAGAAGACATGATATTATAAATAGAAAACCCTAAAGAATCCACCAAAAAACTATTCGAACTATAATTAGATTCAGCAAAGTTGCAGGATACAAAATTAAAACACAGAAATCTGTTGTGTTCCTATATACTAACAAAGAACTAGCAGAAGGAGAAATCAGGAAAACAATTCCCTTTACAATTTAATCAAAAAGAATAAAATACCTAGGAATAAACCTAACCAAGGAGGTTAAAGATCTGTACTCTGAAAACTATAACACACTCACGAGAGAAATTAAAGACACAAATAAATGTAAATCTATCCCATGCACATGGATAGGAAGAATCAATATTGTCAAAATGGCCATCCTGCCCAAAGCAATTTACAGATTCAACACAACCCCTATAAATATATCAAGGACATTTTTCAATGAACTAGAACAAATAGTTCTGAAATTCATAAGGAACCACAAAAGACCCTAAATAGCCAAAGCAATCCTGAGAAAGAACAAAGGTGGTGGGATTACACTCCCTGACTTCAAGCTCTACTACAAAGCTACAGTAATCAAAACAGTATGGTACTGGCACAAGAACAGAACTCATAGATCAAAGGAATGGAAGAGAGAGCCCAGGTATAAACTCAAGCATATATGGCCAATTAATACATGATAAAGGAGCCATGAATATACAACATCGGGAAAAGACAGCCTTTTCAACAACTGGTGCTAGGAAAACTGAACAGCTACATGTAAGAGAATGAAACTGCATTACTGCCTAACTCCATACACAAAAGTAAACCAGAAATGGATAATGGATCAAAGACCTGAATTAAGACATGAAACCATAAAACTCTTAAAAGAAAACACGGGCAAAAGTCTCTTGAACATAAGCATGAGCAATTGTTTCCTGGACACATCTCTTCAGGCAAGGGAACCAATGAAAAATGAACAAGTGGGACTACATCAGACTATCTTCTATACAGCAAAGGACACCATCAGCAGAAAAAAAAGGCAACCTATAGTGTGGGAGAATACATTCATAAATGATTTATCCAGTATGGGGTTAACATCTAAAATATATAAAGAATTCATATGACTCAAAAAACAAACCCAACAAATGACCCAATTAAAAAATGAGCAGAGGACCTGAATAGACACTTCTCTAAAGAAACACAGATAGCTAACAGGCACATGAAAAGATGCTCCACATCACTAATCATCAGGGAAATGCAATTCAAAACCACAATGACATATCGTCTCACACCAGTCAGAATGACCACTATCTAAAAGACAAGAAATAACAAGTGCTGGTGAGGATGTGGAGAAATGGGAACCCTCCCACACTGGTGGTGGGAATGTAAATTGGTACAACCGCTGCGGAAAGCAGTATGGCCTTTCCTCAATAAACTAAAAATAGAAATACCATTTGCCTCAGTAATTCCACTGCTAGGAATTTATCTGAAGAAAACATAATCCCTGATTTGGAAAGATATATGCACCCCTATGTTTATCACCACATTATTAAAACAGCCAAGATATGGAAGCAACCTAAATGTTCATCAATAGATGAGTGGATAAAGAAGATGTGGCACATATACACAATGGAATATTATTCAGCCATTAAAAGAAAAGAAATCCTGCCATTTGCAACAACATGGATGGACCTAGAGAGTATTATGCTCAGTGAAATAAGTCAGGCAGAAAAAGACAAATACCAAATGATTTCACTCATCTGTAGAGTATAAAACAAAGCAAAACAGAATGAACAAAACCAGTAGACTCAGACACTAAGAAGTGATTGGTGGTTACGACGGGGGAGGGTATAGGATGCTGGAGAGGGTGAGGGGGATAAAGGGGTATAAAAATTCTCAGTCATTATATAAGTTGGTCATGGGGATGGTAGTACAGCATGGAGAATATAGTCAATTATTCTGTAACATCTTTCTAACCACACTAGAGGGGGTGAGGATGTAATAATATGGGTAGCTATTGAGATCAATACCATATACCACATTAACAAAAAGAAGGATAAAAACCATATGATCACCTCAAGATATGTTAGGAAAGCATTTGACAAAATTCAACATCCATTCATGATAAAAACTCTTAACAAAATGGGTATAGAGGATACGTACATAACATAATAAAAGCCATATATGACAAACCCATAGCTAACATCCTCATACTAAATGGCAAAAAGCTGAAAGCTTTTCCTCTAAGACTGGGACAAGATAAGGATGTCCAGTCTCCCCACTTTTACTGTACACAGTACATAGCAACAGCAATCAGACAACACAAGGAAATAAAAGGCATCCAAACTGGTAAGGAAGAAATTAAGCTGTCACTGTTTGCAGAAGACATGATATTATAAATAGAAAACCCTAAAGAATCCACCAAAAAACTATTCGAACTATAATTAGATTCAGCAAAGTTGCAGGATACAAAATTAAAACACAGAAATCTGTTGTGTTCCTATATACTAACAAAGAACTAGCAGAAGGAGAAATCAGGAAAACAATTCCCTTTACAATTTAATCAAAAAGAATAAAATACCTAGGAATAAACCTAACCAAGGAGGTTAAAGATCTGTACTCTGAAAACTATAACACACTCACGAGAGAAATTAAAGACACAAATAAATGTAAATCTATCCCATGCACATGGATAGGAAGAATCAATATTGTCAAAATGGCCATCCTGCCCAAAGCAATTTACAGATTCAACACAACCCCTATAAATATATCAAGGACATTTTTCAATGAACTAGAACAAATAGTTCTGAAATTCATAAGGAACCACAAAAGACCCTAAATAGCCAAAGCAATCCTGAGAAAGAACAAAGGTGGTGGGATTACACTCCCTGACTTCAAGCTCTACTACAAAGCTACAGTAATCAAAACAGTATGGTACTGGCACAAGAACAGAACTCATAGATCAAAGGAATGGAAGAGAGAGCCCAGGTATAAACTCAAGCATATATGGCCAATTAATACATGATAAAGGAGCCATGAATATACAACATCGGGAAAAGACAGCCTTTTCAACAACTGGTGCTAGGAAAACTGAACAGCTACATGTAAGAGAATGAAACTGCATTACTGCCTAACTCCATACACAAAAGTAAACCAGAAATGGATAATGGATCAAAGACCTGAATTAAGACATGAAACCATAAAACTCTTAAAAGAAAACACGGGCAAAAGTCTCTTGAACATAAGCATGAGCAATTGTTTCCTGGACACATCTCTTCAGGCAAGGGAACCAATGAAAAATGAACAAGTGGGACTACATCAGACTATCTTCTATACAGCAAAGGACACCATCAGCAGAAAAAAAAGGCAACCTATAGTGTGGGAGAATACATTCATAAATGATTTATCCAGTATGGGGTTAACATCTAAAATATATAAAGAATTCATATGACTCAAAAAACAAACCCAACAAATGACCCAATTAAAAAATGAGCAGAGGACCTGAATAGACACTTCTCTAAAGAAACACAGATAGCTAACAGGCACATGAAAAGATGCTCCACATCACTAATCATCAGGGAAATGCAATTCAAAACCACAATGACATATCGTCTCACACCAGTCAGAATGACCACTATCTAAAAGACAAGAAATAACAAGTGCTGGTGAGGATGTGGAGAAATGGGAACCCTCCCACACTGGTGGTGGGAATGTAAATTGGTACAACCGCTGCGGAAAGCAGTATGGCCTTTCCTCAATAAACTAAAAATAGAAATACCATTTGCCTCAGTAATTCCACTGCTAGGAATTTATCTGAAGAAAACATAATCCCTGATTTGGAAAGATATATGCACCCCTATGTTTATCACCACATTATTAAAACAGCCAAGATATGGAAGCAACCTAAATGTTCATCAATAGATGAGTGGATAAAGAAGATGTGGCACATATACACAATGGAATATTATTCAGCCATTAA